GTTGGCTTTCTTGGACTGTGAGGTCTCAGTCTCTGATAGAGGACATTTGCAAACTGAGGTGTACTGCAAACCCACCCACACAGACCAGTATTTGCAGTTTGACTCCCATCACCCTTTGGAGCACAAGTTAGGAGTCATCAGGACTCTGTATCACAGAGCAGACAGCATCCCCACTAACTCGGGAGCCAGGCAGAAGGAGAAATCCTACACAAAACAGGCTCTAGAGCAATGTGGATATCCTAACTGGGCCTTCCTGAAAGCAGAGAAGAAACCCAAACAGGACTCCAGTCAGCCATCAGGTGAAAATGAGTAACCCAGACCCAGACCAGTGGTCATTCCGTATGTTGAGGGAGTATCAGAGAAACAGATGTTTATTTTCTAAACATAACGTCCCAGTGGCTTTTAAACCCCAAAATACATTACGGCAAAGACTGGTTCATCCCAAAGATCCAGTCCCCCGGCACAAACAGAGTAATATTGTGTATGCTGTTCAGTGTCAGGAGGGCTGTGATCAGTCTTACTTCGGGGAAACTAAACAGCCACTGGCCAGAAGGATGGCCCAGCACAGAAGATCAACATCATCAGGCCAGGATTCTGCGGTCTACACTCATCTCCAGGCCAGCGGTCACTCTTTCAAGGATGAAGATGTCCACATCCTGGACAGAGAGGAACGATGGTTTGAGAGAGGAGTAAAGGAGGCCATCTTTGTGAAAAGAAATCGTCCATCATTAAACAGGGGTGGAGGCCTCCGGGTTCAACTGTCCCCCCTCTTACAATGCTGTGATTGCTAGTATCACTCAGCCCCCTGTGAATAGTAAACAGCCATCAGTGTGCTAATGATCCATTGTTAGGCTGATGGTCCTTCTTGACCATGTGAGCAGCTGGTTTTGGTTGTCAGCAGCAAACTGGTTGATCCACACTGAGAAGGTGCTATTTAAGAGACTGAGCTGAAAACAGCACTTCAGACTGAGGAAGTCTCTTGGATGAGAGACGAAACGTTTCTATATTTTTTTGCTTTGTTTTGTTTTTTTGAATGTCCACAGGACCAGATTGAACTTTTTTGGAAGTGGCGTTAAAGTCTTTTCTTCGAGAGCTAAGTAAGTGGTGAAGCTACAAGCTAACTACAGCCGGCTTGCCGTAGTGTTGGTATTCTGATGCATGCGCAACACGCTGTGTTCCGTCAAAAGTTTTTTTTGGGGGGTGGGGGGGTTCCATCGTAAGTTAAAGTAAGCGTTGGTCAGCTTTAGAGAAACCTGCTCTCTGATCTGTGAAAAGAACGCTGTGTTGTGCGATTTTACTGCGAGACACTTTGGTCAAAGCCACAGACTTGTTTTGTGTCAGCTCTCCATTAAAGCGGAAGGAGACACCCACTAGAAGGTTGGAATGTGAAGTGTTTTCAGCGTGCACTTGCTGCTCTGTTGCTGTTCATTTCTTAAGTAAGACTGGAAACTGTTAAGAGTTAACATATATTTTTGTTTAAAACATATGGCTAAAACTACATTTGATATATTTTGCACTGTTTTGCAATACAAGAAAAAAGCCTAATACTTGATTTGTTTATTATTTAAAAACTCTCTGGACCTAGTAGTGGAATTTTCTTAATTCAAAACATATGATGGCAAAAGGACACCCTATGCTTTTTTTAGCAAGTTTTATACTAAAAACATATTGCGATATATATCGTTATCGCCACCCTTCACAATACATATCGTGATATGAATTTTATGCCATATCGCACATTCCTACTGAATACCTACTCATAATCATCATCTGGTTCTGACCTATGGCATAGAAATTAAGGACTTAGTAATACATCCTCAAAATCCTTTCCTGTCCAATCATTTTTAATAACCTTTAAGTTTACATTAAATGACTACACAGTCACTGAGAATAAATTTCATCTTAGCAGATGCTTATCAGAAAACACTAACCTAATTTAAAGAACCTTGTCCATCATTTTCCTCTGTCTTGCAGAGTAACACATCAAAGAGCAGTGACATAGATCATCTGGTTGATAATTTTACAACTTCTTCGCAAACTTCGCTCAGTAAAGCTGCTCCGCTGAAAAAGAAAGTAATCAATCAGAGGAGATTGGCTCCTTGGTTCAAATGAGGTACATACGTATCGGTACTTTAAAACAGGCGTCTAGAAAGCTGGAAAGAAAATGGCGCTTCTTCTAACGTTGCAGAATTTTACATATCTTGGAGAGATAGCCTGCTAACATATAAGAAAGCATTCTCTGTAAAGCTAGAACTTTATATTATTCATCTTTAATTGATGAGAATAAAAATAACCTCAGGTTCCTTTTCAGTACCATAGCTAGTCTAATGAAAAATCATCTCTGTTGATTCATGTATCCCTACAACTATAATCAGTGACTTCATGAGAATCTTTATAAATAAAATTATTTCAATTAGTGAAAAAATTCAAACCAACATTCCTAGTATCGGGCAGCACGGTGGCACAACTGGTAGAGCTGCTGCCTCTCAGCGAGCAGGTCCTTGGTTCAAACCCCGGTCCAGGGGCCTTTCTGGGTGGAGTTTGCATGTTCTCTCCGTGCATGCATGGGTTTTCTCCGGTTACTCCGGTTTCCTCCCACAGACCAAAAACATGCATGTTAGGCTGATTGGTAACTCTAAATTACAGGGCCACCTGCATCATGAAGGACCCCACTCACCCAGCACACACACTTTTTGCCCCACTCCCCTCAGGAAGGAGGTTAAGGAGCATTAAGTGTAGAACCACTAGACTGAGGAACAGCTTCTACCCTGAGGCTGTTAGACTCATGAATCTCTAACTAGAATAATCACTGTGAAAAACCATATCATGTTGCTGCTGATCTGTTTCATGTTGCTGCTGATCTGTTTCATGTTGCTGCTGATCTGTTTCAATGTTGATGTGTTCATGCGTGCACATCTGCTCACAGACTCATGTTCATGTTTGTGCTGATGTTCAATGTTTTATGTTATGAGTGCTTAGTGTATATTTAGTTGATGTTTTTCTTAGTTCATATCTTAGATGTTATTACTGTTTTTCTTATACATTTTATTGTTGGATGTAACTGGGACCCCGTGTACATAATTTCGCTCCACCACATGTACCACATGAGGTGCGAATGACAATAAAGAAACTCTGACTCTGAAATTGTCCCTAGGTGTGAGTGAGAGAGTGAATGGTTGTTTGTCTCGTTTGTCTCTATGTGGCCCTGTGATGGACTTGCGTACAGGGTGTACCCTGCCCCTCGCACAGTGATTGCTGGACATGGGCACCAGTGACCCCCGTGACCCAAAATTGAATAAACGGGTAAAGATAATGGATGGATGGATGGATGGATGGATTGATTCCTAGTATCGCTTCTGGTTCTGTGTCAGATGTAACAACTTCAAACATAAATCATGTTCTTGACATTTTTAGACTGTTTTCGTCCTGTTGAACTCTCTGAATTGTCAAAAGTGATAGCTTCATCCAAACCATTCACGTCTGCTAGATCCCATCCTAAACAGGCTATTTAAAGAGGCGTTTCCCTTAATTAATAACCACTTCTTGGATCTGCTTAATTTGTCTCTAATAAATGGTTACGTACCACAACGTTTTAAGATTGCTGTAATTAAACCTTTACTTAAGAAACATAACCTTGACTCAGGAATCCTAGCCAATTATAGACCCATACTGTATCTAATCTTACTTTCATATCAAAAATTCTAGGGAAAATAGTTGCAAGTCAGTTGTGTGATCATCTGCAAATAAATAATTTGTTTGAAGAGTTTCAGTCAGGGTTTAGAGCTCACCATAGCACAGAAACAGCACTGGTGAACGGTGCTAATGATATTCTCATGGCCTCAGACAATGGACAGGTGTCTACACTGGTCCTGTTTGTCCTCAGTGCTGCATTTGATACAGTTGATCACAATATTCTACTAGAAACTTGAATATGAAATTGGAATTACAGGAACGGCTCTAAAATGGTTTAAAGCATATTTGTATGATAGATTCAAATTTGTAAATGTAAATAATAAATCTTCATACACCAAAGTTAGTCATGGAGTTCCTCAGGGTTCAGTGCTTGGACCAATACTCTTTACCTTATATATGCTTACATTAGGTAAAGTTATTAAACAGCACGGTATAAATTTTCATCGTTATGCTGAGGATACACAGTTATATTTGTCCATGAACCCCAATGAATCCAATCAGCTACTTAGACTACAAGCATGTCTTAAAGATATAAAAACCTAGATGACCCTAAATTTTCTGCTTTAGAACACAGACAAGACAGATTTTGGTTTTTGGACCGGAGCATCTTAGGAATACATTTTGCAGTCTTGCCATCCTTGGATTGCATTAATCTGGCCTCCAGCTCTGTTAAAAATCTTGGTGTTGAGACTGTATGACACTGGTTCTTCTATAATTTGTGCTGCTAGACTTATAAGGGAGGTCATCACGGCATGCAGATTTTCTAGTTTGCTCAAAAATCCAGGTAGAAAAACCTAACAAAGTTAAATCGGGTCCTCTGGACGGATTAAAAAAAAATAAAAAAATAAAAATAAAAAAAACTTGTTGAAATGTTTCATCTTTTATTTTAAGACTTCATCAGTCCTCATCAGTCCAAAAAACTGATGAAGTCTTTTGGATAAAAGACAAAACCTTTCAACAAGTTTGATTTTTATTTTTTTATCTGTCGGGAGGACCTGACTTTGTTAGGTTATTGCTCACAGTTGATTACAAAAAAATTAATAAAAAATTTGCGGGATTAAATAAATAAATAATTTTTAAAAAGTTAGGATTTCGATAAATTAATCAAAATCAAGTCCCCATCCCCCTTTTTTTCTTACTTTCTTCCGTATATTTTTTAAACAGTTTTAGTTTCCATTTTATGGTTACCACATGTGATATAACTGACACTGGTACAAAAAAATATTACGTTACATTATATTCAAACTATTTGAACATCTGTTTTTTGGTTTTAATGCAGTTAGATGTGTCTGTATGCGTTTTCTCACTGGCTGAGAAGAGGTTGTGAACTGCCCGAGTGACGTTGAGCGATGGCAGCTCCAGACACTGAGCCAGACACGAGAGGGCGTGGCCTTGCACAGTGGACGATGTGTCCATCCGTCGAGCAAAAAGCAGGTCCTGGATCAGAAATTTATGTGGCAGGAAGCCTGCGAGCTCAGAATCCTGACACTCTTCCAGACTTCTTTCAGGCTGCTCCAGCAAAACCATCACGACGTCTATGGAGAACAGACGGTGCACCATCTGCAGAAACCAAACAGAACAGTTGAATCCGAGCAACAGCATAGACTTATAGACTGTAGCTACTGATATCAATCTTGTTAGGGGGATTTATATGCAGTTTTTCCACAGGCAATAAATAAAATTCCTGTTTATAAAACAAACAAAAAGATGCATTTTTAGTCCTAGAGAAAGTTTAACCTGCTGTGATTTTTCCCCTCTTCCTTGTATAAGAAAATAAATTGAATACTTCTTAAAACATTTACTGGGATTAGCTAACAGATGTTACCTTTGAGTGTCTGGAGAAGGTAAATAACCACTTGATGAATTGAGCGTAGTCTCTGCTTGCCATAGAAGATGTTAACAAACCCACAGCCTGGGCTCCGTGACTTCGAAACTCACTTTTCTCCACCATCTACACATCAGAAAGCTGAGTTAACTATTTACATACAGGCTAATGGCAAAGCAACAGGAAAACACTTCCAACTAGAACAAGTACCATCTCAGAGTGTATAAATAAGTTGGTTTTCACAGTAGTGTTAGCTGTAAACTCACCTGAATGCAGATATGCTGCAGGAGGATTTGAAGGAAAGGTAGAGCCAGCTCTTCCAACTCTTTCACAAGATGACTAGAATCACACAAGGACAATCTAAGAACAATATTTGTATCACTGTGCATTACTAAGCTCACAACCTGTTGAAGTGGATCATTTTCCAGCTTGACCAGATACAATTTTAAGTTCGGAACAAGCTTTTTTTCATCATGCATTTTATAATGAATTAAATAACTTCGTGTTACCCTTAGATGTAATTCTCCAAACAGTTCAACCGATTTGCTTTCCTCTTAAAAACTTTGTAGAACAAACCAGTTAAAAAGAAAAAGACTTACTATAAAACAATTCAATAGGACCATGAAATTACATCCTGATTTTTTATTCATTTCTTGGAATAGATCTTGCCACTTTTCAAGCCAATTTTAAACAAAAATATTTCTAAGTTGAGAAATGATGTTTAAATGATGCTGTTGTGAGACAGAGATGGTGTAGAGCAGATGACTTGGGACCAGAAAGATGAGGTTCGACTCCCCGCCATGCCCACATGTCGTGGTGTCTCTGAGCAAGACAACTAATCCCTAATTGCTCCTCGAGCGCTTCCATAGCTGCCCACTGCTCCACCTGGGTGTATCTCAGGTGCGATGGGTTAAAAGCAGAGCACTAATTTCATCATTGAATGGGAACGAACAATGATGACAACACATAGCACTTAACTTACTTAAAGCCGTTTTGTTCAAACCTTAAAAAGAACCAAGGCTCAATTTCATGCAACATTATAAGATCTTGTGTGATCTGTTAGAGCTCAGAGTATGTGTTGAGTCACTTAGTTACTGCCACAAACTATAACTTTATATTTGCTCAATTTACTGAAATGTAGCCATTTCTGTGTTTTCTATGTTAGGTTGACTGTGGTGACCATGTTGAATTCAGCTGTACTTGAACACCCAATAAGTACCTCTTGAAAGTTTCATCAACATTTCTCCAGTGGTTTATGACACAAACATGCACAGACAGGTGTACAAGTTAAGTGATAAAACAAGTAATTAAAATTCTACACCTTAAGTTAGTTAATTAAAGCGAAGCTGCCCACCAAACAAACTGGATGGCCTGGTCGCGAGTGGCGAGGACGGCCTGGTTGGGTACAAGCAGGGAGGGCTTCCTCCCATCGTTTTGGTTCATCATCAGGATCACGTAAAGGAGTCGGTGAAACACCCTCCGCAAGGACTGGAAGTCAGACAGATTTAATAAACCATAAATAATAAATATTTAGGATTCAACTTCAAACACTCAGCACTTCCACACAAAAATCAAATCACTGGCACATTACAGACAGCATTTGTTTAAATTCTAAAATGTTTATTGTTTATCTAAAAAAGTTAAATCTGGTCCTCTGGACATTCAAAAAAAAAAAAAAAAAAAAAGCAAAACAACCAAAAAAAATGTAGAAACGTTTCGTCTTTCATCCAAAAGACTTCCTCAGTCTGAGGAGCTGTATTCCGCTTTTTTAGATTTTTCTACCTGGATTATTGAGCATGCATCAGGATGTTTATTGTTTATATTATCAGTGAAACTTCTGGGGCGGCATTGTGGCGCAGTTGGTAGAGCTGCTGCCTTTCAGCAAGAAGGTCGCCAGATCAAATCCCAGCTGGGGGCCTTTCTGGGTGGAGTTTGCATGTCCTCTCCGTGCATGCGTGGGTTTTCTCCAGGTACTCCAGTTTCCTCCCACAGACCAAAAACATGCATGTTAGACTGATTGGTAACTCTAAATTGTCTCTAGGTGTGAGAGAGAGACTGAATGGTTGTTTCATTTGTGTCCATGTGTCCCTGTGATGGATTGGAGACCTGTCCAGGGTGACCCCCACCTCTCACACAGTGATGGCTGGACATGAGCACCAGTGACCCCCACGACTCAAAAAGGAAGAAGCAGGTAAAGATAATGGATGGATGAAACTTCCTATCATTGTATAAGATGGTGTATTCATGATCTTACTCTGACAAGCAGAAAAGTGTGCAGAAATAGAAGATTTTCTCTTTTTGTACTCTTCTAGACAAATAATTAAAAAAAAAAAATTAAAAACTGTCCCAAATTTTTGAAATAAAATAAAATAAAACTCTTGCAGTGATATTTCTGACAATTAGGCCTGTCACGATAACAAATTTTGCTGGGCGATTAATTGTCGCAGAAATTATTGAGCTAAACAATAATATTGTTTGAAATTTGACAATAATTAGTAATTATTGTAAAATTTAAGAAGAAATGTTAAATTTGTTTTGATTGTAGTACCTTTTTTAGACCACTGGATGGCAGTATAAGACTAAACCGAAGGATGGATAGTGAAGGAGTGAGCAGCGTGTCTCTTTAAAAATGGGAGGGAGGCAACTTGACATGACATGGGCAGTCTCTCTTTTTTTTTTGGTTCTCAAAATGGTGGACGCTCAGTGTGGTTTGAGCTCTTTAGCATTAGCATTTGTCACACAAAGCTTTTAATAAAAAAAAATGTTTAAATCAGTAAACCTGTTCTCAGCTTCTTTTTGCAGAGAAAAACAACTTTTTACACGAAGGCACGGGTTTCAACTGTGAATTTTGGAGCTTCGACAAGACGGAGATTTTTTCCTGAGGTCGGCCTGTTAGCTTAGCTCGTAGCTTAGTTTCTCAGTTTAGCAGCTTTTAACGATCCAAAAACACGATCTTGGATCATTAAAACAGATTTTAAAGAGAAAGGAGAAAGGGAGGGGTCAATGAAGAGCGCTGGCGTTGAGCCTTTTGTCATCCAGTGTCTTCAGCAGAAAGAGACGAAGAAATGATAAAGCTGAAATGAAAATGAGGTCGATAATTGTCATTTATCATGTTAATTGATTTATGCTTTATCGTGACAAGCCTACTGACGATGAGTAGTGTCTCTATCTTACTTGCAGTAGATAGCATTCAGAGCAATCTTAGTTTGCTCAATTAAAGGCCTTGAAGGAATGCATCTCACCCACTGCCTTAATCAAGTTTTAAACTAAAATCATTTTATAATGAGATGAATGAAGTTAAAGCTGTTTTGTTCAAACATCGACAATAAAATTATAAAACCTAGTAAGCACTCAGTTTGTGTTGAAGATGGCTCCTAGTTAGTGGTACGCCACATTTTAGATCAATGTGAGTAAACTGGCAGTTAATGGGGCGTCCCTGAAGAGACTTGCAGCTGTAACAAAAAGTGGCTCTACAAAGTAATGAATGTGGAGCGGGTTAATACAAATGCACGCCTCACTTTTGTTTTATAATATATATACACACATCTCTACAAACAAACCAGATTATAATCTCTGTAGAGTGGTATGTTGAGACCATGGACCTTACCTCTTTCTGGTCTCCATGATTTGGTGAACACAGCAGCTTCAAGCCGCAGAAAGCCATCTCTGGAACGCTCTTCAGCTTGGTGAAATCTCTGCAGAGATGATTGAACCAGCTTTCATGTTTAGGATCATTTCTTCAACATGACAAAGGAGGAAAAAAACTTACTGTGGCACTGCAAAGACTGGCTCCCCAAGGACAGGCTCAAAGTAGAGCAGTTTAGTAAAGATCTGCAGAGGACAGAGGACACGTGAAGACACGTGCTGCGGCACGCAGCAGCCATGTCGGTGAAACCATGGGTTACCTGCGTGCAGTGGCTGGCGCTCTGTGGTTGATCTTTGAGCGGAAATGTCTGCAGGAGCCTGAGAAGACTCTGAAGCAGGAGAGCAACGGCATCTCTGATCCTCATCAAGTCCTTGCCAGAGAAATAAATATCCTCGTCCTCTTCCTCATCTATTTCCATCTGAGGAAAACAGATTTTTTGACAAGAATAATAGTTTGATCATGTTTAAAGTGATTTTTTTGTGTAAAATGTATAAATATTAGTTTGCTTTGTAGACGACTTCATGAACAGCCTCAGTTTGAAAAAGTATAGTTTAATTCTGACAAGAGTGATGAACTGAACAAGGTCAAAGAGGACTGATGTCATCTCAAACTGCTGTTTAAAATGTTATAGCAGTGCTTGCAACATTATTTTATCAACTTTTACACTGCATTACACAGCTATAGGATATTCCTGTCAGGTGTGACCCCTGGATGCTTCAGAAGTGCTGCTGATTATTTTGTAAATGACCACAGAATTTCATGACTGCAGTGTGAAAGTGTTAGAAACAGCGTTTGCATGAATGGTGACGACATCTTTGGAAATTGCAGACATTTAAAGATTTTGCATTCAGACTTGCCAGGGCCTGATTTGTCATAAAAACTGTTGTTTAAAAACGCGAAGTGTTGAAGCCTTTCTGATACGAAGCTCAGGAGCTGCAACTGAAACGATCCGATCCCTTCTGGACCAGCCTGGACCTCAGGACATCTAAAAGCAAACAATCCTTAGATCTAAAATGATCTGTTAAAAAAAAATATGTACAACGAGTAAGATGTTTTCTTTGACTTTTACACAGAACCCATTTGAAAATGGTTGATGTTTATTGGAATGCTGAATACTGTTGAGGTTTCCTGACATAATGTGATTTTAATAAAACCTACAGCAACTACACCGACTTCAGCACATGAAGCCAAAGGAACGTGGTATAAAAACATCTCAGTGTTCTTCAAATACAAAAATTAACTAGAGCAATTGCATTTCCTGTGAAAATGTAGTGTGAATGCTTAATGCTGAAGAACTTGCTGAAAAACAGCTGAAATTAGCTAAAAACATGATGAAATGTGGCTGAAATGGAAGAACAAGCCTAACTTAGCAGAAGAAAGCAGAAAGAACATATTTCCTGAATTGGGTTTAAATAAACAGAAAAGAGCAGAAAAACTAGTAAATTAGCTAAAAAAAAAAAAAAAGGCTGAAATTAGCAAACAAAAGCTGAAAATTTGCAGAAAAGTTAGAAAGAAGCAGAACTGGAAGGAGCTGAAATGAGCTAAAAAATGTGGAAAAAGCTAAATTTAGCACAAAAAAGCTAAAAAGTAGCTGAAACAGCAGAAAAAGATGAAACTAAGAAAAAAGCTGAAAAGAGCATAAGTTGAAATTAAAATAAATAATTCAATTAGGCTGAAAATAGCAAAAATTACCATGAGAAATTTGACTAACTTAAACAGCTGAAATTAGGACAAAAATAAATAAGCAGATAAAAAGTAGCTAAAAAGGTAGAAAAACCTTAAATTAGCAGAAGAAAACAGAAACAATGTTTGCCCAATGAGGCTGAAAGTAGAAGAAACAAGCACAAAAACATGGAAATTATCTGAAAGGCTTAAATTAGCAAAAAAAAAAGGGGAAAAAACAGCTGAAAGGTAGCTAAAAAGGCAGAAAGAAGCTTAAATTACCAGGAGGGAGTGGAGCGAGCACAATTGTGCCCAATTAGGCTGAAAGTTGAAATTTGTGCAAAAACTGTGTCATTAGCTGAATAAGCTAAAATTAGAATAAAAACATCTTAATAGTAGCTGAAATAGTTTAAAAAAAATTTTTTAAAAAGGCTTAAACTTGCAGAAATAATCTGAAAGAAGCAGAAAACAGCAGAAAGTAGCTGAATTTTTTTTTTTTTTTGCACAAGGAAGCTGAAAGAAGCAGCAGTAAAAGGTTGTAAACAGATCTAAATATTTGAAGGATGGGAAATGAGCTCAATTCATTTTCTACGATAAAAAAAAAAAAGACAGAAAAGGCTAAATATTTCACAAAGCTAAATAAAGTTGCACCAATACCAAAAGCCATAACTTCTCCTTAACGTGCTGAATGTTTGGATCTATGATTTGCTGAAACAGCTTGAAAACTGTGGGACGAGAATCGTGCTGAAAACGTACAGGAGAAAAATGGATGACAGAGTGAATGTTTCATAAACATTCACACTTTTACAGAAATGACTCTTTCTGCACAAACAGATACAAAGTTTCTGACTCGGGGCCGTCCGTACCTCTTCTGCGTCTTTCCGTTGTGGTTTGGAGCGTTTGCCTTCAGTCTGGGAACTCTTCAGGATGTCCTTCTTGCGCTTCTTCCCAGAGTCCTCGGGCCAGCAGTGTGAAGTCAGGTCAGAACACGCGTCCAGCAGAACCTCATGGAAAACTCTGTTAGCAATGCTTCCTGGAAACAACACGTTTACAAACGTGTAAAAATGGATCCTCATACTCTCTGAACACAAATACAGTCTTCAAATAAAATTACTTTACATTTTCAAAGTTTAAAGCTACAACACGCAATAACAGAATGATTTCCAGCATTTTCATGTGTTAACCAGTTGTTATTCCCAGTTCCAAAAGAGCTGGACAGTTTTCTAAGACTTCATGGCTCAATACTAAAAGTGCCTCTCCCCACAACATGCACATCTTTTAACAAATTATTTGCTGCTTTTATATTTTTCAGAATAGTTACTTTTATAAACCATCTACTTTTTTTTTTGATTTGCTGACATCTGACTCTCAATCAGTAAATTTTGTTAAACACAATGACGTTAGCCAGTGAAGTAACTGCACAGTGAGATTGTTAAAGTTCAAACAAAACCCTTAATTACAGGTTTACTTTTTTTTTTTTTTTTAAGTTCCTAACATTTCTGGAATAGTTTTAAAAGCTGTACAGATCTATGTTTTTGAAGCTTCCAGAACCAAAATCAATCAGAAACTTATTGAGTTGTATAAACGGTTGCAAAGAGAGTACAGTGTAAATGTTCTCACCTGGGAGTCCCAGCAGCAGCAGGTAAAGTGAAGCGGCATACAGTCCATTGACCCTCTGCTGTACGCTGGCCCCTTTGGCTTTGGCAGCCAGGACAAAGGAGGACAGAACAGCAACCAGGCTCTTGACTGACACACCATTCTCCCCAAGAATCGTCCAAATACTCTGCAACATGGGACGCAGTGCTGAATGCTGCCTCCAGACAGCTGAACAAACTTAAATGACTGATTTGTTGCTGTAGAATACAGTAATAGTTTAAACTTTCTGCCTTCTTTTAACCAAGTGTTCACAGCATTTCTCAGACACAGACCCGTTCCAAAAAATTAGAACATCTTGGAAAAGTTGTTTAACTTCCATAATTCCATTCAAAAAGTTCATCTTTAATAGATGATAGATTCAGGGCCCACAATTTAAACAATTTCAAGTATTTATTTGTTTATTTTTACATAATTTGGGCTTCCAGCTCATGAAACCCATGAAAACAGGATTTCAAAAAAATTAGAATACTGTCACAAAAAATCAGCCCACACTTCTCAGTTTTTGCAGAAAAAAAGAAAGAAATTAGGATCAAAACAAAATCAAAATATGGTACTTTCAAAACGATATGTCAATCTTCAATACTTGGTTGTGAATTCCTTTGCCTTAATCAGTGCCTCGATGTGACGTGGCATTGAGGCAATCAGCCTGTGGCATTGACTGGGAGTTATGGAAGCCCAGATTTCCTTGATGCTGTCAGCTCTTCTTTGTTGTTGGGTTTGGTGCTCCTCATTTTCCTCTTCAGAATACTCCATAGATTCTCAATGGAGTTTAGGTCCAGAGAGTTGGCTGGCCAGTCAAGCACCATGGCATGGGCATCAAACCAGGTTTTGGTGCTTCTGGTGGCATGGACAGGGGCCAGGTCCTGCTGGAAGATGAAATCTGCATCTCCATACAGATCCTCAGCAGAAGGAATCATGAAGTCCTCTAAAACATTCTGGTAGACTGTTGCAGTGACCTTGGATTTAAGAAAGCAGAGTTTACCAACACCTGCACTGGACGTTGCACCCCACATCATGACTGACTGTGGATATTTCACACTGGACCTCAAGCAGTATGGGTTCTGTTCCTCACCCTTCTTCCTCCAAACCCCTGAACCTTGATTTCTGAATAAAAGGCACACTTTACTTTCATCGGAAAACAGGACAGAGGAACCCGACAGTTGTAGCCCATCTCCTGGATGCAACTGAAGGAGGTGGTTTTTGAAGCAGTGACTCTCGCCTCATCCCACTCTTTCTGGATCTCTGCCAGATTCTGGAATCTTCTCCGTTTGATAATCTGCTGAAGCTAGGGCTGGGTGATACATCAATATATATTTTTTAAATATCGATACAATATAATTCACAATATAAAATGAGACTATATCGATATAAAATGTTATATTCTTACACTCTACCTAGAGTTATAAATCTTCCTGTCCTCCCAGTCTGCACCTTCATTGACACCCCTCCTTTCCCTTACTGAGTGCAAACCCGCCCCTCCCCCGCTGCTTGAGCACCTGAAGACTATTTGATATATGCAGATATCCTTGTTGACTCACAGAGGGTGAGCTCTGTAAACTCCTGATATGTGTTAAAATGACTGGGTAGCTGCTACAAAGCAGAGGTTTGATATTCTCCAAGAAATTAACTGGTTTAGAGTGGCAAGATATCAGAGTCAGAGATTCTTAATTGTCATTCGCACCTCATGTGGTGGAGCGAAACTATGTACACAGAGTCCCAGTTACATCCATCCATAAAATGTAAAAGAAAAACGGTAATAACATCTAAGATATGAAATAAGAAAAACATCAACTAAAAACACACTAAGCACTAACAGCATAAAAACATTAAGTCGAACATCAGCACAAACATGAACGAGTCTGTGTGAGCAGATGAGCATGCATGAACACAACATTGAAACAGATCAGCAGCAACATGAAACAGATCAGCAGCAACATGATGTGATTTTTCACAGTGATTATTCTGGTTAGAGATTCATGAGTCTAGCCTCAGGGTAGAAGCTGTTCCTCAGTCTAGTGGTTCTACACTTAATGCTCCTTAACCTCCTTCCTGAGGGGAGTGGGGCAAAAAGTGTGTGCGCTGGGTGAGTGGGGTCCTTCATGATGCAGGTGACTCTCTTCCTGCATCTGGAGGTGTAGATGTCTGTGATGGTGGGGTGGTTGACTCCAACAGACTTCTGTGCAGCCTTCACCACTTTCTGCAAAGCTTTTCTTTCTGCAGCTGTGCAGCCTCCATGCCACATGTTGATGCTGGAGCACAGGATGCTCTCCACTGCACACCTGTAGAAGGAGGTGAGGACTGAGCTTCCCAGACCAGCTCGCCTCAGCTGCCTGAGGAAGTAGAGTCTCTGATGAGCTTTCTTGATCAGGCTGGTGGTGTTGTTGCTCCAGCTGAGGTTGTCATTCATGTGTACACCCAAGTACTTGTAGCTGGAGACCACTTCCACTGCAGATCCTCTTATGTTCAGGGGGGTGTAGATGTTTTTGTTCCTTCTGAAGTCCACAATCATCTCCTTTGTCTTCTTCACATTGATGTGAAGGTTATTCTCTTTGCACCAGCTCTCCAGGTGTTCCACCTCATGCCTGTAGCTGGACTCATCATTGTTTGTGATGCATCCCACCACCGCTGTATCATCTGCAAACTTTACAATGTGACAGCCTGGATGGGTAGCTGCACAATCATGTGAGCAAAGTAAACAGGAGGGGGCTCAACACACATCCCTATGGAGAGCCAGTGCTGAGTGTTATGGTGGAGGAGGAGAGGTTGTGGATCCTTACCAACTGTGGTCTGTTTGTTAAGAAGTCTAGTACCAGTTGCAAATGGAGGGGCTTAGTCCTAATGTGGATAGTTTGTCCATCAGAGTTTGGGGGATCATGGTTTTGAAGAGAGATGTGAAGTCCACAAAGATCATATGAACGTAAGAGTTTTTCTGCTCCAGGTGGTTGAGCGCAGTGTGGACCACAGAGATGGCATCCTCTGTTGATCGGTTTGCGCTGTATTCATACTGATGAGGGTCCTCGTTGATGTTGATGGTTGTTTTGATGCGAGTCATGACCAGTTTTTCGAAGCATTTAGCGACTATCAGGGTGAGGGCCACTGGTCGATAGTCAATCAGACCAGTCACTTTAGAGTTTTTTGGGACTGGGATGATGGTAGCAGTCTTCAGGCAGGTGGGAACGGTCTCCAGGGTATGAAGTTGTCTTCTCATTAAAAACATGGAGACAGCTATCCAGTACGCCAAGCCCTAGTTATCAGTCTTAAAATATAATCCCTCTTGTAAATAAAAAAATATATATGTACCGGTATATTCCTTCTAGCAGATGAGACGAAGTCAGAGTCTGGACAAAACCACAGTAAACCAGTTCTTCCTACCTGAGAGCTTGTGTCGCTGCTTGCAGACAGCCGAAGATCAGCAGCACGTGATTGTAAACAGCTGTACAGGGTTGTGAGGGCTTCGTCTGTACAGGCGTCCAGTTCTTCTCCAACAGGTTCATCTAGTGGTTTCCTCTCTGTAAACTCCAATTCCCACACTGCATCCACCCAGTCTGAAAGCACCAGAACACATGTAATCTCCCATTAACGAGTTCCAGTTCTCCTCTCATGTGAATTACATTCAGTGTTCTTCAGTCTGTTTGACAGCTCTCTTAAATCTGCACCTCTTTTTTGAATGGTCTGTAATTATAATCAAACTTTTCTTTTTGAAGTCTAACTCACATATTTAGAAACTTTTGTTAGTTAAGGTACTCGTGGGAAGAGTACCAATAATTTAGCACCTATTTGCTTAATCTATCGGGATTTATATATATAAACAAAAAAAATAGTTTAGATACTTTAGAAATCGACTTTCTAGATCAACAGACGAGTTTGTCTTGAATTAATTTATGTGTGAAATTCTTTCAGAGACTTTTAAAACGCGCGCGCACACACACACGAGCATTCAAACGAATTTAAGCGTAAATGACCAAAAACCCTGAACAGCTGTTTCGGGTGCCAGGCAGAACCCACCGGGAAATTCTGCACAGAAACTCAGACATTTAGTTTAGAATAAATACATAGACAGTAGCCCGTGTTATAATACATTACATAGCATACGCTTTAGCATAATAGAGGACAAGAGAAATAAATGTTTTACCTCTAGGAATTTCATTTAACCGGAGAAACTGTAGCGCATTCATCAACTCCATTTTGTTTGTGGAAAAACCCGCCTGAAGTTTGAGCAGCGCGCATGCGTACTTGTAAATTTTACAGCTACTTCCGATTATTTTTTTTTATGCTTTATTGAAACTAAACATGTACAACACACAGTACAAAACGGGTTCAGAACTTGACAACACAAACACAGTGTTACAATAATTATAGCAAATGTATGCCCGAACCTCAGGATAGTTTTTCTAAAGTAGTTATAAACAACTATACAATTTAATTCTATGTATCAAACTGTCTATGCAAATGTTAAAGTTAGCTTGTATCACATTAAAATTACATTTGTGTTGACAAATTTTATACATGGCCTATATGAACATTTTAATAAACAGATTTGTTTAGCATTTTATTGTTTTCAACGTTGACTTTCTTAATGCCAAGCAAAATATTTGTTTTGAAGTTTTATGAGAAGCTCATAAATCACTTGAGAAGATTCTTGCATAAATTCTAAAAGAGGTGTAGCCTATTAAAGTTTAACTAGGTTTCTTACCAGAATATGCATAAAAAGCTAGTGCTGTCTATATTTCTTTATAATAAATGTTTGGACTGGATAAAAGTTGTGAATAAATTTAAATAAGACATCTCTTATTTTATTTAAGTATTCCCTTAGTGTCAACCATGACTGTTTCCAGTGATATCTTCAGAAAAGTTTGACCAAAAAAAAGGAAAATAAATTGTCCCCTTTTGGTCAGTACACTTGGTACAACGGGGATTGTGCCCTCTCAAGACCAACCTGAAGAAGTTCCTTTCAACACCCTGTCAAGACAAATGAGACTGTCGCATACACAGGAGGCCCCGCCCTCCTGGCCTATAAATACGCAGCGTGTTCTCATTTCCCTAATCTTTTTGCACTTCACCTTGCTTTAACCTGATTGCAGGTCCCCTGCATGTGACTCAACTGTCTGCCTGGAGGTGAGCTCGCTCCCTACCTAGGGCGTCACTACAAGGTTTTGATCCTGCTTACTGCTTGTTTAGCCCAGCTAACGGTCATTTTTCCACTTGCTGTTTTTCTAGCCTGTTTAGCTTGTTAACTGGTCTAGGTCGCTCTTCCCTGTTTAGTCTTGCTAACGAGGAAAATTATAGAACAGCACAGCTAACTTTCTGCCTGTTCAGCTTGCTAACGGGTAAAATTTACTCTCTTTCTCTGTTGCTAACATGACGCCGGAGAAGAGCAAGAAAAATCTCAAAGCCTCTAGCAAAGCCAGCAAGGCAGGAAGCCCAGGTTCACGTCCGTGTCCAAGCGCATGCAGATTTTTTCTTTCGGAAGCGGACACCCACGAAGCTTGCCCAGTATGTCTCGGCATGTTGCATGTTAAGACTGCACTTGCTAACCCGGAGTCATGTGCGCATTGAAGCCGACTCCGAAAATCAACCCTGAAGAAGCGTGTGGGTTCCTGACAAAAACATTAGAAAATTCAACTGCAGCGAGAGACCTGCTGCTGTCTGAGGCTCTCAGACCAACCACAGAGCTGGAGTCCGACGAGATGGAGGGCAGCACCACTGCGTTGTCCTGGGGTGAGCAGATGGATGGGCTCCTTCCCATGGATGACGCTGATGAAAACCAGGTCAAGTTCGACATTCAGGACATGCTGCTGTCGGACAAGATCTCTCTGACAGCCTCAGGTGGCCTCTCTGAGGATGAAGCAGGTGCTGATGAGGAAGCAGAGGCTTTTTCACAAGAGACTGCAGCGGCACCTGTCGAAGCGGACGGATCCACTCCAGCCCTGTTTGAGCTGTGCCGCAGAGCGGCCGAGTCTCTCAAGGTGCCGTGGCCCACTCCCCCACCTCGACAGCTCCAGACAAGACTTGCTGGTAATTATTTTCTCCCAAGGCAACTGACCTCGGTGAGGTACAAATTACCTGTGTTTTCAGATTTTTTAACGGAACTCGCACGGTCCTGGGCATCCCCTAAGGCACCATTATCCCTGCATTTCTCCCAGTTTTTCAACTAAGAAAACATGGAGCCAGCTGGTCTCTCGCACATCCCACCCATGGATGAAATGCTGGCGGCCCACTTGGCACCCAAGGTGAACACATCAGCAAGCAAACCCACGGTCCCCAGCAAACAGTGCCGGTTCTCAGCAACACAGCTGGAATAAATCTACCGCGCACAGTGACTCAATATGGCCTTGATGCTGCAGGCGTATCAAGTTGAAAAGCTGTAGGAGCTGCAGGAAGCTTTACAGTCAAGGAGAAATGTTGCAGAACCACTGGACGAGGTCCGCAGGACAGCAGATTTTATCCTCCGGCTGTCGGGCACCACAGCTATTGCCCTGGGAAAAAGCATGGCGGAAGCGGTTGTCGCTCAGCGACACCTGTGGCTCACTCTCACCGAGCTGCCAGAAAGCCAGCGCTCCATTTTTCTCCAGCAAACCATCAAACCCACAGGACTGTTTGGAGAAACTTTGGAAAAGATCCAGACCGAACTTCAAACACAAAGGGGGCGGAGCTCCGGCTGACAGAGTTAAACTCTCCGCCCCACTTAAAACTGTGTCCAGCAGAGGGCACAGTGAGCCCACAAACGAACATGCCATTCAGGCTCGCTTCAAACGTGAGGGCATGGCGGGCATGCGCACCATCGCAATGGATCATGGGAACTGTAGTCCATGGTTACAAATTGCAATTCAGCAAGCCTCTTCTACAGTTCAGAGGGACTATAATGTCGAAAATACAGCCAGATCTCGCTCCAAATCTGAAAAAGGAGATTTGTTCACTCCTAGAAAAAGGAGCAATAAGGGTGGTCCCCCCTCAGGAAGCAAACAGCAGTTTTTACAGTCACTATTTTGTGATTCCAAAAAAGGACAAGGGGCTCTGCCCAATATTGGATCTGAGACAATTAAACAGGCAACTGAGCTCATTCAAGTTCAGAATGCTGACTCTGTGCCAAGTAATGCAGTCTGTACGTCCAGGGGACTGGTTCACATCAGTGGATTTGAAAGATGCGTAAGACCCTTACGCACAGCGATTGTTCCAGATTCTCTGAATCTTTTGATGATGTTATGCACGGTTGATGATGATAACTTAAAAGTCTTTGCTATTTTACGCTGGGTAACACCATTCTGGTATTGCTGCACTATCTTTCTGTGCAACAATGGTGGAATTGGTGATCCTCTTACCATCTTGGCTTCTGAGAGACACTGACACTCTGAGAAGCTCTTTTTATACCCAATCATGTTGTCAATTGACCTAATTAGTGTTAATTGGTCTTCCAGCTGTTCGTTATATGCTCAATTTCCTTTTTCCAGCCACTTATTGCTACTTGTCCCAACTTTTTTGGGATTTGTTGACACTGTGAAATTTTGAATCAACATATTTTTCCTTTAAAATGTTACATTTACTCAGATTAAACTTTTGATCTGTCATCTATGTTATATTACGAATAAAATATTGACATTTACCATCTCCACATCATTGCATTCAGTTTTTATTCACAATTTGTTTAGTGTCCCAACTTTTTTGGAATCCAGTTTGTATATACTGTATGTACAGTGTGTGTATGTATGTGTATATATATATATATATATATATATATATATATATATATATATCAAGTTCAAGTAGGTTTATTGTCATTTCATCACGTGGTACATGAGGTGGAACAAAACTGTACACAGGGTCCCAGTTACACCCGACAATAGCATAAATATAAATTGCAATAAGAAACAGTAAATAAGGATCAAAGATATAAACTAAGATATATGCTAAACGAACACCAAACAGTACTCTAAAAGATTTAAGATATACGCTAAACACGAATAATGCAAAACAATACAGTGTAACAACAGCAGCCCAGACATGAGTCTGTGTGAGCAGATGGGTATGAATGAATTAATACAGCAGCATGAAATAATCAGCAGCATGAGATCAGCAACATGGATAATCAGCAGCACATATCACCAATCAAAGTGGTATTTCACTGATGATAATCGTGATTAGGGATTCATGAGTCTAACAACCTCAGGAAAACAGCTGTTCCTCAGTCTAGTGGTTCTACACTTAATGCTCCTCAACCTCCTTCCTGATGGGAACCGGGCAAAAAGTGTGTGTGCTGGGTGAGTGGGGTCCTTCATGATGCAGGTGGCCCTCTTTCTGCATCATGAAGGACCGCTTCACCGCTTTCTGCGGTGTAAATGTCTGTGATGGTGGGGAGGCTGACTCAAAAAAACTTCTGTGCAGCCTTCACCACTCTCTGCAAAGCTTTTCTTTCTGCAGCTGTGCAGCCTAATACAGCCAAATATAGCCCAATAAGATTTTTTCTTATTTTTTAAAAAGTATCCCAAACTCAAACGGAATAAAATTAAAATGAATATATATTAAAAAAAGAAACATTAACAAAAGAGAAAAAAGAAAGAAACAAGGAGCTGGCTAGAAGTATTAAAATGTATATATTTCAGAATGTTTCCATTTAAATAAATGTTATAATCCATCCATCCATCCATCTATTATCTTTACCCACTCCTTCCTTTTCGGGTCATGGGGGTCACTACTGCCCTTGTCCAGCCATCACTATGCGAGGAGCGGGGGACACCTTGGACAGGTCTCCAGTCCATCATAGGGACACAGAGACAAATGAGACAAACAACCATTCACTTTCTCACTCACATCTAGAGACAATTTAGAGTTACCAATCAGTCTAACATGCATGTTTTTGGTCTGTAACCCACACATGCACGGAGAGAACATGCAAACTCCACCCAGAACGGCTCCGGGCTGGGATTTGAACCGGGGCGACCTTCTTGCTGAGAGGCGGCAGCTCTACCAACTGCACCACAGTGCTGCCATGGTATAATCCACCTCACAGAAAAACATTGTCAGCTGAGCACATCCATTTCTTTTTCCAGGGTCTCAGTGCTGTTTTCTTGACTGTATGTTGCCCATTTGTTCAGCCTGCTGTAGAGAGGAAGTCCGTTCTTCTCTCTGTACAAGTAGACCCCCGTGATTCTGTTCCAGTCTGTGTTGCAAATCGGGTTCACTCTCTGGTGCTCCATCAGCTCCTCCTTGTCCTCCTTTTCCAGCGCCACAAAGCCAAAAAAGCTTTTAACATTTTGTGCAGCCAGGAGGCGGGCGTGCACAGATGTTGTGCGTTGCAGCAGGGTCTTTTCATGTGAGCAGTATTGGGACCAGTAGTCTTCCTGCTGGTAGCTGAGTGGAGAAGAGCAGCGCTTCACACACAATATGATGAACACCGCCAGAGACATTCCTGCCACCAACAACCAGCCGATCAACTGAAAAATGGAGACAATTTAATTAGCACCCATCTTGTTCCACTATTACAAACCAGTTAAAGTCATGTCATCTGTAACCTTCTATGCCAGAGTTTTAGATGAAAAGCATCTTATTTTAAAATATGACATTATTTAGGTCAAGCCTTGAAAATGACATTCTAGATCTTATGCAAAAATGGAAGATCTTGTGAGATGTGTTAGCGCTATGTATGTATGTCAAGTCAAGTCATATTTATTTATAGAGCACATTTGAAACAGAAACTGTTACCAAAGTGCTTGTTGATAGCGGCTCTCAGCTACAACTTTCTTCTTTTTGTTTCTACTGTTCCCTCTTCAGGGTTTGCCATCCTCCTCCCCTCTCACTCTGTTCTCACTCCAACTAACTCCATGTCCTCTCTAAGTGTGTTTGTTTCCTGGCAGCTGCATTTCTAACATACTTCTACACTCACTGTCCCTCCTCTGGACATGTCCATACCATCTCAGTCTGGCCTCTCAAACCTTCTCTCAATCTGTGCTGTACCTCTATTCAATTCAATTCATTTTATTTATATAGCGCCAAATCACAACAAAGTTGTCTCAGGGCACTTTACAGGAACATTCACATACATAAAAGCCAATTAGAAAAGTTCTCTATGTAACTTAACTCTGATTATCTCGTTCCTAATGCTATCTGTCCTTTTCACTCCCAAGGAGAACTTCAACATCGTCAGCTCGTTCTTTTCCAGCTCTCAGTTCTAGTCTTTTTGTAAATGCCCCGGTCTCCAAACTGCCTTGTAAACCATTCCTATTGGCTGACCCACTTTTGTCACAAATCACTCTTGAAAATTTTCTCTATCCTGTCTGGACACGCTTTTTCTCTTCCTTTCTATACTCTCCATTTTCCTAGACAGTACTTGAAGTCCTGCACCTTTGTGACCTCAGCTCCTTGAAGCCTCACTGTTCCACCAGCCTTCCTCCCATTTACACATTTATTCCATCTTGATATGATTGACCTTCTTTACTTACAGCTCTCAGCTATCCCAAACCAAGTTTTAATTTAATATCTGTAAAACTGATTGATTTTTTTTAGCTTTTTGTCTTTGTGGTGCAGGAAAAGGCTTGAATTTTAGCCATTTATATGTCAATTAGCTATGATGATAATCAAGAATTGGGTTGACTCCAACAGAATGTACATCCATTATTTTCTGGGAGCTTTATTAAAATTGGTCTGCTAGTTCATGAGCTATGTTGTTCAGACACAGACAATAACATTAACACTCACCTTTCAGCAGTGGGAAATATAGTAATAATAATATTGTAAGTCCTGCTCTACCTGTGATTCATATTTTAGCCGTCGATCAATTTCTGCGCAGAAACTCTGTAGCACCGTTGGAACACTTTCAACACATGGGAGTTTAGCCATGACCTCTGACCTCTGACCTTGGGGGAAACCTTCCAGTGTCCTTGGATCAATAAACTCACTGAGGGCACATGCATATGCATGGCCTCGCAGAAATGAAATGATCAGCCATGTCAGCGGAGCCACTATAGTTTGATCCATCATGGCCCTTAACAAGGCGAAGGCAGCGACTCTTGATAGATTCTGACATTTTCTGAGCCGACACTCAAACAGCAGGTTCCACGTGTTCCTGTTCATCATTATTCCTATGAGGAAAAGTGCCAGAGCCGGAGCACCAATCACAGCCAGACCATAGAGGTAATTTCTCCCAGAGGAGCATGGACAGTGAAAGGCAAAAAGTGTGTATGCAGTATGGCAAGCCACTGTGCCGAGAACAATCAGCCCATTGAGGATCGCCACATCATTGTTCTTAAAAAAGACAAGCATGAACTTTAAGTGCTCTGTGATGAAAGCAGCAGCAGCCATGGTGGGACCTGAGAGCTTGGTTTATGTAAAAACTGCAGAGACACAAAGAGAAAACAAAACAGATCAAGAGCAAAGATTATTATTTTGGTTATTTCAACACTTTTAAATAAGTAGACTATTTTTTGTGCAGAAAACTGTGCTATTTTTGATAAACTTATGTCACTTAACAACGAAGAAAGAAACCTGACATAAACGTGTGACTGGTTGAAATGAACAAACTATGAATATTCTCATGTAAAATACTGTTTTGGCATTGCCCTGACTCAAGTCCTTATGTTTTGTACACATATACAGCACAAACATTATATATTAGCACAGATTATCAATTTACCTTTATAAATTGGGACGAGCAAATATTTCTTGTCAGCAGTGTTGAATCTTTGTTTCACTGTCTCGGCACAAGGGATGACTCAGTGCCCTTCAGTTTTCTCTGCAGTGGAAAAAAAAAAAAATCTGTGGTCTGTAAGTCAAATGTATGGCAGATCCCAGAGTAAATGGTAAATGGACTGTACTTATATAGCGCCTTTCAATCTTATTTCAAGATACTCAAAGCGCTTTACACTACAATCTGTGCCTCATTTACCCATTCATACAGCACTACTAGATCTCTACAAAGCTAATTGAACAAATAATTCTAATGAGACTAATCAGAGCTTTAGATCACATTCTTACACTGATGGGACACACATCAGAGGCTATGAGGGGTTCAATGTCTTGCCCAGGGACACTTCGACATGTGACTGCTGGTGGATTCGAACCCCCAACTCTCGCATTGGAGGACGACTGCTCTAACCACTCAGCCACAGCCGCCCCTAGTGACAGAATAGGGAAAGCCCAGAAAATGATTAAAGATAAATGCTGAAAAAAGTTCCAGAAATGTTCCAAGATTTCTCAAATGCAAGATGTAATTTTGCAGCTGAATAGTGAATCAAGTGAATCTCCTCCATAAGATATTTTTTTCAAAAGACTTAAGTGATTTTTTTTTAATAACAACTTTTGCAGTCCAGAGCAGAACATCTCAACATACTTCATCAACTTTATTCGCATTTGTTGCTGTAGTATTGAACCCAGATGCAAGCAGACCACAGAGACTCGGGGAATAAGATTTTTTATCAAAACAAAGAAGCTGGCGAGGCAGCAAAACTTACAGTCTTGGATGACACGAGGGGACACAGGAACAAGGAGCTTGACTTGACAATGACCAGACAATGAGATACACCAGACTCTGACCGAATCTTCTGAGGACTCTACAACAACTGGGACTCTGTAGGAGCTCTGCAGCAGGTGTTGGAACCAGCAGATTTGCAGCTGGTGTAGAGACCTGGGGAGCTGTAGATGGCATTGAGACCAGGGATGCTGCAGCTGTCGCAGGGACCAGGGAGGCTGCAGCTATCATGGATGCCTGAGTGACTACAGCTTTTGTCGAGACCAGGGGGATTGCAGCTGTTGTGGAGAATTTCATGGCTGCAGTTGTCATGGAGACCTCCATGGCTGCAGTTGTCATGGAGACCTCCATGGCTTCAGTTGTCATGAAGACCTCCATGGCTGCAGTTGTCACGGAGACCTCCATGGCTGCAGTTGTCACGGAGACCTCCATGGCTGCAGTTGTCACGAAGACCTCCATGGCTGCAGTTGTCACG